AAAACACACACTGGTTCTTTGTTAGAGGGGGCTTTGGCTTCCTGGGTGGGTTTCCCTTCTTCCCAAATTGGGGTTTTAAATTTTTAGGCACTTTGGTTGTTCTTTGAGATTCAGTGAGGGCTGTTACCATTATTTTGGCCATTCTCTTTGTTTTTCTTCTGGGCTATCTCTGGCATTATAGACCCTCTCGGCTATCTCAACCAACTCAGAGAACAATTTACATTCAAAGCCTTCCTGTCTTTGAAGCTTTTTTCTAATGTCTGGGGCTGACTGGGTAACAAAGGCAATGTTTATTGCCTGCCTATTTTCTGGAGCCTCGGGGTCCACAGGAGTGTAGACCCTATAAGCCTCCATGAGGCAATCCAGAAAAGCGGCAGGGGTCTCGTTTGGCCCTTGAATGGTTTTGCTTACCTTTGAGAGATTAGTGGGTCTCTGGGCTGCTGTGTGGAGTCCTCTGAGGAGAGTCTGGTGATACTGATTGAGAGCCTCCTTGCCTTGATCTGTATTTGGGTCCCATCTGGGCTGGCTAAGGGGGAATACACGGTTAAGGCAAACAGGATTGTCAAAAGGTTGGCCATTCAAACCAGTAACAGTTTTGAGGGCGTCTCCGCAGATGCGCTCCTGTTCTTTTGACGTGAAAAGGGTCTGAAGAAGTTGTTGGCAATCATCCCAGGTGGGCTGGTAGGTAAAGAACACAGTCTCTAAAAGGGAGATGAGGTCTTGAGGTTTCTCATAAAAGGAGGGATCTGGTTTTTCCAGTTATACAAATTGCTGGTGGAGAAAGGGACATATACCATGAACTGCGCTTGATCTTGAGTCGTCCCTGGGGGAAGGGGAGCTTGGTGGAGAGGGGGTTGAGGCATGGGAGAGAGGTTGGTAGAGGTAGGGTCAGAGTCAGATTTAAGCCTCGACTGGTAAGCAGTGCCGCTCTGAGTATGCGGAGGGCCAAGAAGTTCTGTAGAATCAGGAGAGGATGGGTAAGGTGGAGGTGCACTAGGGGAGACAGGAATGGGGAGAGAAAGGTCAGTAAGATCCTCTAGTGTGTTCTGTAGGATGGGGGTATTTGTTGGTGCCTTGTTTATTTAAGCAAGATTTTAAACATTTTTTTAGCCAGGATGGTTTTTCTGTAACCAGTTTGATCCAAACCTGTATATATGGAATTTGGT